AGAAAGCGTTTAAATGCAAGAAAACTGTAAAATGGCTTTAAGTAAAAGAGGTGTTCGAATGATAAAAACTTGAAGATAAAGGCATGAAATGTATAACAGTTTCTGAAATGTAAAGTATTTGAAATGGAAAGAAAGCATTTAAATGTAAGGCATCAGTAAAAAGATTTCGAATGAAAACATTTTAAACGCAAAAACTTGTAAATGATATTGACATAAAGGTAAAGGAAAGTACTGGAAATGATAAAGAGTTTTCATTAAATCATAAACATGTGGTGTTATCATACGTACATTGCTCTTGCGTTCGTTTCCCTAGCCATGTGGTAATTTGAATGTTTACTGAGTTTTTTGTACAATAGATATGACACACGAAATCCTAATGCTAAGACTTCTATTTATACTACTTCGACCATAACGGTCTTGCTATAAGATTCTGCCACGTTCAGAACATGCAGAGCAATGCCTCTCTCTTGCTTCCACGCGTCTTCGAATGCTCCAGCGCATATATTTCAAATTTCGAACATCCCGCTTGTATTTGAATTTCAAATGTTTTGGCACTTCTTCGCTTCGAACGCATTTCTTAGACACAGCCTTGTTATCATTTTGAGACTTCTTTGGATATATTCTCATAACTATCACTCGAAGCTCCAAGCTTTGATATGCCCATTCGAAGCACTGCTTCTACCATTTCGAAACATGACGTTTTGTTTCATTTCAATCGAAACGTCCAATTTACTTTGCTTCTAATAATATCATCAAAATCTTCAGCCAACAGTTGTCTAAAAGGATGCTTTAGAAAGCGCTTATGATGTAAAAAGCGCTGTCTATAGTGGCCTTTAGAGAGAACTTATTGAATAAAGTGATGCCTAAAGGCTATATTAACTAGCGCTTTTACATTGACAAAAAGCGTTGTCTTTACTTACTGCAGCGCAAGAATAGGCAGCGCTTTAAAGCGCTGTCTATGGCAAAAAGTGTTGTCTATTCCCTTATATTGCATAGTGTTATTACACAATCCACTTGAACTTGTGATGAAAAAAGTTATTACTAAGTAACTTTATGTTTATGAGATATTTAGTAATTTTTTTCTTTGACTTTGTAATTATCTTAGCGTGCAATATTTTTAAATCACTTTCAATATACAGGATTATAGAGAGGCGTTATATTATGAAAACTCAAGAAAAAAGCTCGAATTTTGTGAGCTCAAGATAAGTGGATTACTTGTAAGGGATATATATATATATATATATATATATATATATATATATATATATATATATATATATATATATATATATATATATATATATATATATATATATATATATATATATATATATATATATACTACAAGAAAACAATGTTTCAGCCACGTAAATATCACGGCGCAATAAATGGAAGTTGACTCGTGAAAATCACGACGCAAACATTTCAAAATAAATAAAAAATGAAATTCGGCATTTCATGTGGGAGAAGAGGAAAATTTTAGAAAAATTAGTAGTGACGTAAAAATCACGTCGCTATATTAAAGTTAAAAATAATTTTAAAAAAAGGTTTCAGCTTTTCAAGTGGGGGAAAGTTTGAATTTTTTGAAAATTTAGTAGTGTCATGAAATTCATGTCATTACTTAAAAGTATATCGGGAACTGAAATCTAACTGACACGCATAATTTTGTGTCGTGAAATTAATGACGGTAAATTTGATGGACATAATTTTGTGTTGTGAAATTCACAACGGTAAATTTACTATGCGTTTTCCATATCTGCTTCGCTTCATTACACCTGATTTATTTCCTCTTCTCTTATTTTCCCCTCTCTCTCACCATTTATCTTCCTCCTCTCAACAATCCAAATCCTTTCTCTTCTCAATTTTTCTACCCTCCTTCACCAATTTTATTAAATTCCCAACTCAAAACTCAAATGTATAAATTTTTTATTTTATTTTGTGTAATACTTTTACAGTTTGGTTTTTTCTCTTATTTCATTTTTTGTTGTTGATGAAGTAATCAAGAAGTAGATCAAATATAAGGTTCAAGAAGGTGTTCAAGAATTTGATCTAAGAAATTTCTTTAATTAAGGTATATAATATAAATAAGTTTAATAATTTTTTTTTAAAAACTCAGAAACTAATAAACCTGGAAATAGGACCTATTAAACTTTTAGCATCGTGAATATCACACCATAAATTTATGGCGTATTTTTCACATGGCAACCAGTTGCCACATGCGCTCATATCTCTTTTTTTTTACGTCGCTAATTTTATTTTGTGACGTGATTTTTGTGTTAGTGTCGTGATATTCACGAGGCTAATTACAATCTTTTTTGTATTTTGTGTTAGTGCAGTGATATTCACGAGGCTAATTTTATTTTGTGACGTGGTTTTTGTGTTAGTGTTGTGATATTCATGCATGTGCGGTTATATATTTATGAAATGTTTAAATTTATAAACTAGGAGACAAGCAGAGGGATACATGTGTGAGTATTATGTAATGAAACACATGTTAAACACCGTCTCTGCCGACATTATTGATTCTTCGGATCAAGTATATATTATGTCATGAAATATTTAGAATAACATATTAATGTTAAAGTAAATTGCTATTATAATTCAAGTCACATGATATTCAATTTTCTTCACCTTTTATGTAGATGTTTAATGACATGGCACATTTCTCCCTCAATGACTTAGACGACATTCGTAAAAGTTGAACGTTTATTTTCAATGCGCTAATTTAAAAGAGTGTTAATGTATGACTTGGTCTTTGATATTTGTATATATATTTTTATTGTTTAATTTGATATTTGTAAATATGACAATGGTGTATATGTTTGAAAATAATATTTTTGGATTTTGTGTAAAAATATTTAATTAATATATGTATAATATACATGTATCAAAAAATACATGTTTGTAATATATGAAAAAATAAAATAATTTTTTTATAAAAAAACATAATATTTCATCACAGTTATTTACAATAATTGTTACGATAGATAGAGCGCCAAATATTATATACCATACAATCACTGAATTTCAAACCCATGACCTTTAGATATATTTCACAGCAGTTATTTACTATAATTGTTGTCATATATAGTGTGCTACCTGATTTATCACAACAGTTACACGCCTGTGGTGGAAGGCATCATACATGCAACTATCCCTTACCTCACAATAGTTGGTTAAGCGTGGTGGTGTCACTTTTTCAACCGTTGTGAGAGGTGTTTTTGTAGTAGAGTAGCCATAATTCACAGCAGTTATTTACTATAATTGTTGTCATATATAGCGTGCTACCTGATTTATCACAACAGTTACACGCCTGTGGTGGAAGGCATCATACATGCAACTATCCCTTACCTCACAATAGTTGGTTAAGCGTGGTGGTGTCACTTTTTCAACCGTTGTGAGAGGTGTTTTTGTAGTAGAGTAGCCATAATGAGTGGTTATAGAGAGTTTATTTCCACAAAATTCTCATGTACTCCCTCCGGTCTCATTTATAAGAAAAAATTAACTTTTTAGATACATTGAATAAGTAATGTATTTGGACAATATATTGTCCAAATACATTACTTATTTAATGTATCTAAAAAATTAATTTTTTCTTATAAATGAGACCGGAGGGAGTATCTCTTAGCGAGACCCTCCCTTACTTAGAGAGGATGATAAACTCAAGGATTTTGGGTAGCATAATTGCTCGCTTAGCGAGAATGACAGATCTTAGACAATTCATAAGCGAAAACAAGGAGGTAGGAAAAGAACCCAAGCCAACACATATGATTCCAATGCACCAATTAACACAAAGTAGCATGGTTTATCAAACAAAACATGTAAAACCCCAAGAATATCATGTAAGACACAAAATACTCACATATAACAAATTTTATCCCAAACCCTAACTTCCCAAAAACATGAAATTCCCCCCAAAGCTAACACTAGCTAGGAACTCACCTCTACCAAATGAAGATGATAAAAGATTGAGTTGGGTTTTTGATGATCCAAACTTTGATCCTTGATTCTCCAAAATTTTCCTCTTTTCTCTTCTTTCTCTTATTACTAATGAGTCGTAAAGAAATGGCAAGAGGAATAAGTGAGAAAAGATAGGGAAAGTAACTTGTCTTTAGTGACAAGTATCACTTATTATGTTACCAACATAATACTCTTTCACTAAACAACACATAATAATTTAAACGAGTAATAATCGAACTCTTATGAGTTCATTAATTACTCTATTTGTCCCAATTAATATCAACTGGAAATTAATAAAGCACTTAGAAATCCAGTTTGTCTCAACTGAAAATAAAATAATAGAAGATACGAGATATTACACCAAAAACGATTACTAAGGTTTCTCCGACTCATCACCTCTCAACCATTCTTAGGGGTAACTATTCTAGACTGGTCAAAAACCCAAAAGTCAATACTCAATCCACTCCAAATGACTCAAGATATAAAAGTCATCACACGAGATACTCAAGGTACACTTTCTAACCTGAATTAGACGTTGGAGTGCTAACTTTACAGGCCCTCTATATCATCGTATCAGAGATCAACACCACTAGTTTAAAACTCTTCACCATCAACATACACTTAATTCTAGTTCATATATATATATATATATATATATATATATATATATATATATATATATATATATATATATATATATGGTAAAAGTGGATTTAAGAAAAGTGAGTGAGATTATTATAAAAACATAATAAAGAAATAAATAAAAAAATTAAAATTTTTTTTAAAAATAAAACAGATATTTTCTCCTTTTTCAAATATAAGCAACAATACAATTTTTAATGGTCTTATAAAATTAATTATAATTATTATATTTAATTATTATATTTAATGTTATTATTTCAAATATAATCCTACTTCTTCACATTTCTAACTATTTCCAATGTAAAAAGTAGAAATAATATTAGAAAAAAAGGTAACACTTTAATGCCTTTAGACATTTTTATTATTGTGACAAGTCTTCCTGTAGTAAGTCATTCTGTTTATCGAACCCTATGGACCTGGACGGGCTTAAAACAACTGCACGGGTCTTTAAGGTTGGAAACATCTCCACATTTGTAACAGAATCTACATTTACACCTGCAATTTCAACATATGATTTAAATTATAATTTCCAATTAAGAATCAAGCATAGTAAAGAGAAAATAAAAGAATTGGAACTTAAGGAGAAAACGTGGTGGCAAAAAATAGTTATGAGTGAGGTTTTAAGAAACCTTTGGTAACTTCGAAATCCGCCGCGATAAAACATTATTGACACATGTTATAGAGATGCATTTATTCATCAATTTTATTTTAAAGAATAAATTACGATTAACTCACACGAAATTGAGACTGACTGTTGAAATATTTGTATCAATTGAAATCGGGAAAGTTTTTAGGCAACCACAATGCAACTGTTTCTTAAAACCTTGGTTATTACTTTTGGATTAATATTTTCAATGAATTATTTGAAAACATGTTTGTTTTTTAGAAGTAGAAGTAACAAAATAAGTGGGTCAAATTCCTAACACACTAAGAAAGTTTTGTTGGTTAAATTCAAATTAGTCTTGGGTAAATCAAAACTCAGATTCTCTTGGGCAGTGAGAAATTTATTCCCTAGGAACCTAGACATAATTATTGTTGTAAACTCTTCATATTCTATATTGAGATCCTATATAAATCACATTGTATCTCATATTGAAAGTTAGTTGGACAAAATATTATAAAGAAAAGAAAATTCATAGTCCACTCTCATTCTCTTCATATTTTTTCAAATTGGTGTCAGAGCGCATGGCAAATATGATGGGTCAGATGCCACTGCCACGACTTTCAAAGTCGAATTATGAAAACTGGAGTATCCAGATGAAGGCGTTGTAGGGATCGTTTGATGTATGGGAAGTAACTAACGATGAGTTTGAAGAACCATCAAATACGACGGCATACACAACTGCTCAGAACAAGGCATTTAAAGAAACACGAGTAAGGGACAAAACAACATTGTACATGCTGTTCAGAGCAGTTGATGAATCAACCTTCGAAAAGATTGTTGGTTCGACTACATCAAAGGAGGCGTGGGACACGCTAGAAAAGGCCTTCAGAGGAGCAAATAGAGTCAAGCAAGTTCGCTTGCAAACTCTTCGAGGAGAAATGGAGAGAATGAAGATGAAGGAGGCAAAGTCCGTATCAGACTACATTACTCGTGTGCAGACGGTGGCAAATCAACTCAATCGAAATGGAGAAGCAACGTCTGATGCTCGTATTGTCGAAAAGATTCTGAGATCTTTGACAGACAAGTTTGAAAACATACTATGCGCAATAGAAGAGGCGAATGACCTTTCAACAATCACTGTCGAAGAAGTCGCTGGTTCGCTTGAGGCACATGAACAACACAAAATAAAGAAGAAGGAGGAGGCACTTGAGGATGCAGAACCCAACAGAGATGAAAAGGCACTTTTCTCTCAAAATTGGCGTGGGAGAGGACATGGTCGTGGAGGACGTAATGATGGTCAAAGTTACCAAAATAACAACTTCGACAGAGGACAATCAAGCCAACAAAACTGGCGTGGCAGAGGACGTGGCCAGAGAGGTGGTAAATCGAATTACAACAATATCGAATGTTACAAATGCAACAAACAGGGGCACTATGAGAAAGATTGCAACTCCTCCAGTTGCTACAACCGTGGTAAAACGGGACATCTTACAAAAGACTGTCGATCCAGAAGAAAGGTAGAAGAAAGAACAAATCTTGCCCTAGAAACAAAATCGAATGAAGGATTTCTGTTAATGACTCAAAAGGAAGCAGATGCAGAAAATGACACTATGTGGTACCTGGACTTAGGGGCAAGCAACCATATGTGTGGTCATAAGCATTTGTTCAAAGACATAAAGAAAATCGAAGACGGTCATGTTTCGTTTGGAGATGCGTCGAAAGTAAGAGTCAAAGGAAAAGGAACAATCAATTTCTTACAGAAGAATGATTTGATAGGATCAATCCAAGACGTGTATTATGTACCAAACCTCAAAGCAAATATTTTGATTCTGGGACAAATCACTGAAAAGGGTTATTCGATTCTCATGGAAGATCGAAGCCTGCATTTAAAAGACAAGTTAGGACATCTGGTTGCTCAAGTCGAAATGGGGAGGAATCAAATGTATAAGTTGAATTTGAGAAGCATTCGAGAAAAGTGTCTTCATGTCAATATCGAAGACCAAGCATCCCCGTGGCATCTTCGATTTGGTCATCTACACCAGGCTGGACTAAGGAGGTTAGCAAAGAAAAATATGGTGCATGGACTGCCAGATGTAGAATTCGAAGGAAAATTCTGTGAAGAATGTGTGTTTGGCAAACAGACGAAAACTCCACTCCCAAGGAAGCCAGAATATCAGGCCAACCAAATTCTAGAATTGATCCACACTGACATATATGGACCAATTACCCCAGAATCCTTCAGTGGCAAAAGGTACTTCATATCCTTCATTGATGATTTTTCAAGGAAAACTTGGGTGTATTTTCTGAAAGAAAAATCTGAAGCCTTCAAAGTATTCAAGAAGTTTAAGACAATGGTTGAAAAAGCAACAGACAAACACATCAAAGCTCTTCGATCAGACAGAGGTGGGGAATATACTTCGACAGTCTTTATGAAGTACTATGAAGAGCAAGGCCTAAGAAGATTTCTGACTGCAGCTTACTCACCCCAACAAAATGTCGTAGCAGAAAGGAAGAATCGAACAGTCCTTGACATGGTTCGATCAATACTGAAGAGAAAAAACATGTCGAAGGAGTCTTGGGAAGAAGTTGTATAGTGTGCAATATACGTCCAAAATAGATGTCCACATTCGAAGCTGGGAGATTTAACACCCCAAGAATCTTGGAGTGGTCGAAAGCCAACTGTGTCTCACTTCAAAGTGTTTGGAAGTGTGGCTTATGCACATGTGCCTCATCAAATAAGAACAAAGCTGGAAGATAAGAGTCAAAAATACATACTTATTGGGTATGATGAAAAAACGAAAGGTTACAGACTCTTCGATCCAATAAATAAAAAATGATAGTCAGTAGAGATGTTTGAGTAAACGAAGGAAGCAAGTGGGACTGGGACAATTTGAATGAGGTTGTGGTCGAAGTACCAAATGCTATATCAAAAGACACTTCGACAGATTCAAAAGACTCTGATAATGAAGAAGTACCATCAAAGCCCAGGTTGTGAAGCTTACAAGACTTGTATGAAAACACAGAAGAAGTGCATCTTGTATGTTTATTGGCAAACACTGAAGATGTCAGCTTCGAAGAAGCAATAAGAAACAAAAATTGGAAGGATTCTATGAATGAAGAAATTAAGGCCATCGAATGCAATGATACTTGGGAGCTAACAAAGTTATCAAATGGAAGTCAAACAATTGGTGTGAGGTGGGTGTTTAAGAAAAAGATGAATGTACAAGATGAAATCGAAAGATATAAGGCGCGACTTGTGGCGAAAGGATACAGGCAGAAAGCAGAAATCGATCATGATGAAGTCTTCCCACTTGTTGTGAGAATAGAGACAATTCGACTGCTCATATCTCAAGCTGCTCAATACAAATGGAAAATACATCAGATGGATGTCAAGTCATATTTTCTGAATGACGTGCTCGAAGAATAAGTTTACATCGAACAACCCCCTGGATTCATGAAAATCGAAAATGAAGGAAATGTGCTAAAGCTGAAGAAGGCACTTTATGGACTGAAGCAGGCACCACGAGCATAAAATACTCGAATTGACACATACTTCAAGGAAAATGGATTTCAGCAATGTCCATTCGAACATGCCTTGTATGTGAAAAAGAAAAAAGAGAAAATACTGCTTGTTTCTCTCTATGTTGATGATTGGATTTTGTTGGGCAACAACAATCAGATGATCGAAGAGTTCAAAGGCATAATGATAAAAGAATTTGAGATGACTGACCTAGGCCTGATAAAATACTTTTTTGGTCTGGAGGTTCAACAGGAAGAAACAGGAATCTTCATGTCACAAGTATGCGAAAGATATCCTAAAAATATTTAAGATGGATAGCCGCAATCCTATTTCGACACTAATGGAGCCAGGAGCAAAGCTTTCGAAATTTGATGGGAAAGAGCGTGTCGAAGCAAACAAATTTTGAAGTTTGGTGGGAAGTCTTTCATACCTTACATGCACACAGCCAGATCTTTCGTTGAGTGTTGGAATTATGAGCCGCTTCATGGAAGAACCAGTTGTTGCACATTGGAAAGCTTTGAAGAGAATCCTTCGATATGTCCAAGGAACTGTGTCACTTGGAATGTTCTACTCGAAAGCAGAAGAATACAAGCTGACTGGCTACTCTGACAGCGATTGGTGTGGTGACATTGATGGTCGAAAGAGCATTTCAGGATATGTATTCTTCATGGGAAACACTACTTTCACCTGGCTGTCAAGGAAGCAACTTATTGTAACTCTTTCGACCTGTGAAGCAAAGTATGTAGTAGCATTCTGGTGTGTATGCCATGTAATATGGCTGAGAAGACTGTCGAGCAAGATGGAATCGAAGCAGGAAGCTGCAACAATGATTCGAGTTGACAACAGATCTACAATCGAACTGGAGAATAATCTAGTTAACCACGAACGAAGCAAGCACATTGATGTTCGATTTCATTTCATTCGAGAACATGTGAAGGATGGAAGCATCAAACTGAAGCACGTTGCAAGCAAAGATCAAGCAGCGGACATTCTCACAAAACCACTGTCGAATGAGCTTTTTGACAGAGGCAAGAAAATGATAGGCACGATGAATTGAAAGAATATTTGAATTTATGAGGGGAATCAATTTGAGGTAAATCAAAAGTCAGATTCCCTTGGACAATGGAAAATTTATTCCATAGGGATCTAGACATAGTTATTGCTGTAAACTCTTCATATTCTATATTATGATCCTATATAAATCACATTGTATCTCATATTAAAAGTTAGTTGGACAAAATATATAAAGAAAAAAAAATCCATAATCCACTCTCATTCTCTTCATATTTCTTCAAGCTTTATTAAGCTAATATCAAAAAAGCAAATTACTTCATAAAGCTTAAGCTTTGAAACTATTGAGGGAAAAATAAACTCTTATATTTGAAATATTTAGAAATAACAATGATGATTTAAAAGATGGAATGGGCTGATGATTAAGTCTAATTATAACAGAGATATTTGGATATATATATATATATATATATATATATATATATATATATATATATATATATATATATATATATATATATATATATATATATATATATATATATATATATTTTTTTTTTTGCTAACCTGTACCCTAACAAACATAAAAACAAAATAGATGATTAAAAAGAAAAGGAACCTGCACATCATCTGGTCGCAGCCCTGAGATCTGGCAACATAAAATCTGCAATTAGGGCATCTCCTCCACTTCATATCCTTCGCAAGGCACATCAACATAACACCTTCATTATCTTTCTCATCAGCATTCAATTTCTGGAACTCGCTGCATTCCATTCCTTCATGCCATGCAACCTTACATTCTGCGCAGAACATCCTCTTACAATTTGGACACTTTGATCTTCCAATAACCTTCTCCTTTCTGTCTTTGATCATAAGAGCCGAACAGTCTGCAAACGGACAATATACTTTCAATGGAACATCAAACGACGCCTCGCAAGACGCAATCCCCCACCGATCAAAAATCTCCACAGGAAGAATCATACGACAACTATCGGCTTCCCACAAACAGCGGCAACCAATAAAGGGACAACGAATGTTGACGGTGTTGTTTTTCAGATTTGAATCAATGTACATAACGATGCAGTCGGAGCAGTACCTGTGGGAACAAGCTCCGATGCAGAAAGCGTCTTTCATTGTTTTAGTGTCGGTGCAGATTTCGCAAACGAACGGAACGTTTTGGGGAATGTAACTGATGATCCTAGCATTGTTGCTTTGTTGTTTGCAAAGGTTGATGATAGCTGATATGTTTATGTCTGGGGAGAAGAGAAATGGTTTGACGTCCACCGTGGTGGACGGTGGAACGCCGCCTCCTCTTCTCATTTTTGTCAACATTAGGGCTTGGTGAATGAGTGGAGAGACTCTCCCACTATCACTCTTTTCACTGCTGCCTTAGTGGGACAAATTCGTAAAAAGTGGATTCTGTTACCAAACGGTATCTTCATTAATTATAGCGTAATATAAGGAATTTTTTTTTTTTAAATTAATCATTTTTAATTTTAGTTTAAATTAATGTTTTTTTAGTAAATTGTTAGAAAATTAATTAATATAAACAAACTTTTACCTGCATGTCAGTTGATGAGAGGGAGTATAACATTATAAAAGATCATTATGAGCACGTTTATCAGCTAGAATTTGTTCTATGTAAATTACCATGACCATAGTTCAGCTTCAGAAATGTTTGTTCTATGCATCTGTAATAAGTTTGTGCTTGAGAATTCATTGTCATCATTGATGAGCCAAAACTAGATAGAGTCGAATTGGAGATGCAGCTGTTACGATGAGACCCAACACTAGGAATTCATTGTCATCATTGTAATCAGTTTGTGCTTGAGACCTTAAATAATTATGAAAAAGTCCAAAGTATTGTCTTGAATAAGGTACGCAGCGTGCCAAACTATTTTCATGCAGATGCAGCTGCCTCTTTAATTATTTTTCCATATAAATATAATTCAAACCAAAATGGGTGCTATACTCATTGCTTATTCAACCATGCATGTATCACATGCATATATATATATATATATATATATATATATATATATATATATATATATATATATATATATATATATATATATCCAATTTCAACATTAATGTACCTCAAATATATGACATATTCAGTCCAATTTTGATGTAAATGGGTTTAGCGGCTATTATCAATACTAAAGTAAATTATTGAATAAATACAAGACAAAAATGAAAGTAAGATCTGAATAATTTTCTAGGGTTTTCAAAGGTAACAATGCCTTAAATACAAGATGGGGTCCTAATTGATAAGCTGATGGGCCTAGCTCGAAAAGACAAAATTTAATAATAACATAACAATTGCTACTAAAACCTATTTTATTTGGACACATAGTCTTTCATCCAATTGGGCTTGTTTTTATTTCTTATGGGTATGTGTTCATACATAGATCTATTTCCCGAGCTAGAAGAGCTGAAAGACAAGGCATGATTGAAAGATCGAGAAAGGCAAGTAGGCAATCGGTCGGTTATCAACCCGGGTCGAGATCATAAGGCCTGAGTCGGGTTGCGTGATCAGAGAGTCATGTAATCTGCCATGGAAGAAGATGAAGAGGCAGCAGTCGGGCTCATACCCTGGATCCAGAGGTTACTCTAAGTCTGATCTTAATGGAGCCGTTACGCAATGGTCGGTCCATTAAGGGCGTAACCGATCATTATTATACGGCGGCGCACGTTATGATAATAGCCATCATTGATAATAGCAAATGTTACTTGCATTTAAGACAACTCGATAACGTAACATGGAAAGTCATAGTAGTTACATGCAATAATCAATGAGGCTCATACACCTCTATATATAGGGCTCCCGACTAAGCGGTAAGTAAGACACATCGCTTGGAGCTTACGTGTACTCGTGTAAGCCTCTGAATTCCTCAATATCATAAACAACATCTTGTCACTCTTTTAAGGTTCTCCCTGTCATTCTCCGAGCAGCAGAGAAATCTCATATTTGGTGTTTAGCAAGAACATTTGGCGTCCACCGTGGGTCTGGTAAAATATCATTTACTGAAAGGGTGAGACATTTTTACTAGAGGAATATAATTTGCAAATTTGGGTTACCCCGTGTTATCGTTTCAGATAACAGAACCTAGTTCGCGTGCTCATCTGTAACAAAATTCTACAAAGAGCTCGGAATCATCAACCTCTTCATTTCAGTAGAACACCCTCGGGCGAACAGACAGACAGAGTCAACTAACAAGGTTATCCTAATCGGGATGAAAAATAAGTTAGATGGAGCAAAAGGGTTATGGGTCGAGTATCTCCACGAGATATTATGGTCTTATCACATTACAGTTTACTCCCGATAAAAATCAACACTCCATCCTGGAGAAGAGTAATCTTTAAAGGTAGTATAAATAACGAGCATCTAGCAAGCAAAGCCAACCGGCTTGATGAAATCAGAAACATGACACATGTTTGTGAGATTGCAACCAAACAAAGGATAGTCCAGAGATTCAACATGAAGGTGAAACAAAAAGGCTTCTTCAAAGGAGATATGGTTCTAAAGAGAATCACAGATCTAGCAAAGCAGGGGAAGCTCTCACCAAACTGAGAGGGACCTTTCCGAGTTATTGAGAAACTCAGCAATGGAGCTTACAAGATAGAGACATTAGACAACATAGAAATTCCTAGGACATGGCATGTATCTAGTCTTAGGATTTATTTCAGCTAAAGTCATGTAAGCTCATGTAATAATAAATAAAAAAATATGTGCACTCTTTCCCTGACAAGGGCCAGGATTTTTAATGAGGTAACCTATAAAAGCATCATTTTTGTCAAAATACTCACTTAAAAAGTCTTTATACTTTGGTTCAAAGTTAAACCTTCTCAAGTATAACCTTTCCGGGTTCCACACCTTGGTTCATATTTTGAGCCTCCTCAAGTGTAACCTTATCGGTGATGAACCTTAAATCGGATTTCCGCCCCTTCAAAGGTACACCACCTCGGTTCATATATTGAGCCTCCTCAGGTGTAACCTTATCAGTGATAAACTTTAAATCGGATTCCTCCCCTTCAAAGATTCCACACCTCGGGTCATATCTTGAGTCGCCTTAGATGTAACCTTATCGGCAATGAACCTTAAATATAATTTCGCCCCTTCAAAGGTTCCACACCTCGATTTATATCTTGAGCAACCTCAGGTGTAACCTTCTCGGCGATGAACCTTAAATCGGATTCCTCCCCTTCAAAGGTTCCACACCTCGGTTCATATCTTGAGCCACCTTAGAAGTAACCTTCTCAGCGATGAACCTTAAATCAATTCCAACCTTCAAAGGTTTCATACCTCGTTTCATATCTTGAGTCGTCTCAGGTGTAACCTTCTCAAAAATGAACCTTAAATCAGATTCCGCCCCTTCAAGGGTTCCATACCTCGGTTCATATCTTAAGCTGTCCCAGGTGTAACCTTCTCGGCGATGAACCTTAAATCGGATTCCACCCCTTCAAAGGTTCCATACCTTGGTTCATATCTTGAGCCGCCTCAGGTGTAACCTTCTCGGTGATGAACCTTAAATCAGATTTTTTCCCCTTCAAAGGTTTCACACCTCGATTCATATTGAGCTGCCTCAGGTGAAACCTTCTCGGCCATGAACCTTAAATCAGATTCCGCTGCTTCAAAGGTTCCACACCTCGTTCATATCTTGATCCTCCTCAGGTGTGACCTTCTTGGCGATGAACCTTAAATCAGATTCTTCCCCTTCAAAGGTTATATACCTTGGTTCATATCTCGAGGCGGCTCAGGTATAACCTTCTCGGTGATGAACCTTAAATCAAATTCCACCCCTTCAAAGGTTCTACATCTCGACTCGCATCATGAGCTACCTCAGGTGTAACCTCCTCAAACATCACACCTGGGACAAAACTGGAACCACCTAAAGTGTGATCCTTATGAGCCCACTAGGCATAACCTTATAGCTCATACATCTCGGCTTTCATAAGTACAGGGTCCAACACCTAAAAGTGTTTAAGCACATAAAGATGCCTCCCGGCCCCCACAAGCCTATACGGCTATTCAAAACAAATAAATTTCGAGTGATGGCTTAAAAATACAAGAAGAACAAATGCTTAAATAAACACTCATATCTCTTAAACAGAGTTTCAAACCCTACGAAGATTAAGACCGGGATGAAATCATTCCCATGAGAACGGCCAATCTGTTGTAAAGCAGCATCAGACATATCAGAGAGGATTAGGGCCTTCCTTCGAAATTAATCACTATGGTTTTTTCCAAAACCACGTGACCAGAGGGCTACCATACATCCATAATCCTCTCACATATGGGCATACAAAATACATACAAGTGAAAACCAACATAAATGGAAATTGCAAAACAAAAGCAAAAGTATGATTAATGATAAAAGGCCCATAGGGCAATTGTCAGAACAGGCATTCAAAAGCTATTACAAAAGCGCACCCACCAAAAAAAGGGTGACTAACAATTAAGTATTCGATAAAAATAAGGAATCACTTGGTTACATCGGTCGGGGAAGCATCGCCGATACCTGGCTCACCTGTGGCCATGGATTCATCATCGTCTTCATCATCTTCCACGTCCACCAGCTTACCATCCACAATGTTCTTGAAAAAGTACACTGAGGAGATGTCCAATTATGGATAGAGGCACAATACTTGATCCTTAGCCCGGTCAAAAGCCATATCCCTGACATCAAGGACATCTATTTGAGACTTCTCTAAAGACTTTTGCAGGTCGGTGTAACACCCCAATTCTATCCAGCAATTATATAAATAAATCATAGTTATAATCATTCATGCAAACGAATCAGGATGCCACAAATTCATCTTTAAAAACTCATTGCATTCAACATGGATACATAACACTTTAAAACTTTGGATGAACCATCAGCATAATACTTTAATTAAATAGTTCAACAATTTAAACATCTACACAGCGGAATTCTTAATAACATCTTTAGCATCATTACAACAACTTCAAAATAACACATGTTTAATAAAAATCGACTTAAAGTTCAACAACTGAATAATAAACAATTAAAAGCAACAAGCGTTCATCCCCCCCGAGTGTTACATATCATAGAAATGATACCAACTCGAACTACTGAAGGTATACAGCCTTCACCCTTGATTACCTGCACGTTACCAATGTAAGGGTAACATCCAAACAGAAGGGGTGCGATATCTAACAATATAATAAAACGTATAATAATTAATATATTAAATTAGATCACATAACATCACCACCTCTCATCTCATAATCAACAGTAATCGCAACAATAATACACATTCACAACATCAATACACAACTTCTTTATGCAATC